TCTTAATTCTACAATGATTGTTCTTCTATGTGAAGATATAAACAATTTCAAAAAACAAAAGAAAAATTGACACATACNAAATTTTCTTAATTCTACAATGATTGTTCTTCTATGTGAAGATATAAACAATTTCAAAAAACAAAAGAAAAATTGACACATACTAAATTCAAAAGAGATTTTAGGATGGCATTAAGAGTCCATTTTATGCCTTCGATGAAAATTGCTTTGACAAGTTCTTACAAAAATGTAATTTTTCCTACAAAAATTTAAGTTGGGTCCTCACCACATCACTTCTCAAATCTATCTAATAGCTACCAATTTAAATTTTACATTTATATATAAAAGTATAATAACGGTTAAGATTAATACAATATTCATTTAATTTCATCTAATAGTATAAAATTTATTGAAAACAAAATTAAAAATTTCTACCTAAAAGCATCATCTTCCGTACACGACCATCAATATCAGACAACTCAATTAACAAACTCTTCAATACTAGAAAACCCCAATAACTCAATTTACCTCTCTTCTCTCTCCCTTACTTCTATCATATCTTCTCCATGTCCACTATAATTTTTAATTACGTAATTAAAGAAAAATAAATTATTATTTAAAATATAAACATTGTACTATCAATGTTCGATTTTGATATTACGGAGTGTCTTCAGACGCANCGTAATTAAAGAAAAATAAATTATTATTTAAAATATAAACATTGTACTATCAATGTTCGATTTTGATATTACGGAGTGTCTTCAGACGCATGATTATTGCGAGTGTGCAAATATTACAAGAGAAGGATATAGGAGACCATATTAAGTTCATTTTTTCACCGCAGTAAAAAAAATAGATCCTTGCAAATCCAAGTTTTTACTATGATATAATACCAAAAAGTAGAAAAAAATTATTGAGTTGAATTGAATTAAAGTAATTTTTAGTATCATTTTGAACCACTCATATGAAGATATCATGTAACTTATTTTGAACCAATCATATGAAGAAATTATGTAACAAACACAGAATGTTACATGTAGACTAAAAAAAAAAAGAAGTAGAGTAAATATCAGTGCCTGTAAATAAAGAATTATTTCTCCTTCTTAATCACACAAATCCCTGACAATTGAAATATTATACACATACCTCCTAAAATTTACACAGACATAATACTTAGATCCTGTTGCAAATATATTTGTTAATAAATTACACCTAGACCACCTGAAGTTTGTAAACATATTTTGTTTAGACTCTTTAAGTTTAAAATGTTATACTTAGACTAAAAATACTTCAATCAGAGATAAAATAACAAATATTTTAAATTTTATAATTAAAATTTATATTCTATTGTATCATTTATTGAAATAAAATAAAAAATAAAAAATTATTTTTTTCTTCAAAAATCGTAATTAATGTACAATTATATTGTCTATTTCAATAAATGATTGTAAAATCAAAATTTTACAATTATATTTTGGTTGTAAAAATTAAAATATTTGATATTCTATTTTTTATTGGAGCATTTTTTGTTTAAGTATAATATTTTAAACTTAAGAGGTCTAAATATTATATACTTACAAACTTTAGGGATATCTAAGTGTAATTTTTTAATAAATATATTTATAACATGGGTCTAAGTGTTACGTACGTATAAACTTCATGGAATATGTATGTAACATTTTAAATGTTAGGGAGTATGAGTTTTAAGTGACAAATTTTTGGAGGTCTGAGTGTAATTTTCTCTTATTTTTATATTTTAATATAAATTTCGTGCTTACTAGCCCGCCTAACATAGAATCTATGATCCGTTATTGACTAAAACATCAATCTAGAACGAAATTAGTAGGTATGAATTATCAATGGGTTCGGGAAATAATTAAGTTGATTTGTTTAATATGTTTAATTAATGGTCCCAATTAGATACATGATTAGAAGTAAGGCAGATATAACTTGAACAAACCTTGATATTTTTACCAACTTTGTGCACCAAGTATTGTCAGCCGTTGGATTAGTGGGACTCACTATCGTCCACTGTTTGACAATAAAACATAAAATTTATCTATATAAAAAGGCAGAGGAGACATTGACTGGGACAAGCTTCAATGGCAGTACGAGTAATAGGGAAAAATACATTTTAACCCTCTGAACCATGTCTTATGTCTTACATTACGCCCTAAATTATCATGTTTTTAATCTATCACCTTGAAGTATTGTCCCAATAATTAATGCCGGTTGAAAATTTGAGGGAAAGACATCTCATTTTGCCCTCCCTTCCGAATTAAATGATTTGTTTCAACTTGGCCTGATACGTGAATGTAATCCATCTAAAAGATAAAGAACTTTTGCTTTTTTGGTAATCTAAAACCAAGTCAAGTAATAGAAGAGATTGCGAAAAAAAATTAATTGTTCAAAAGTAAAGTGAGATTAATAATATAGTAGAGGGGATCAAATTGTAATATAGCCCGAATAATACAAAGAAAATGATAGAGAATTCCTTCACCAGAATGCTACTCCGCTGCAGTGTGAAACCATGTAATTATGATATCTCGTGTCTAGGATATAATCACTTGGCATTTCTTTTGTTTTTTATTATTTTGTGTTTTTTGGATTCCAATTTGTTTTTCCACTCAATAATTTCCTATTATTAATTAAATGTAAAAGATTATTATTTCGGGTAAAAAACAAAAAATCTCTCATAACTAATCATCGGTCTCACTTTACCCATGTACTTTTACAGGTTGCATTTAACTCCCTTCAACTTGTGAACATACTATAAACATTAATAGAGATTTTTTTTTTTAGAGATAACAGTTTATACAAAATGACTAAACTACCCGTTGATTGTAATCCAATTTTCTTTGTGATGCCATTATTGTAGAGCCCTTATCTTTAAAAATAAAACCTGCAACTAGCACATTTCTACCACTATAATCGCACTCCATCACCACAACCCAACTCCAACTCCAACTCCGTTCCCACTACACCCCACAAATTCCTCTGCAAGTTGTGAAGAAGGCCAAAACGAAGGGGAGAGAGAGAGAGAGAGAGAGAGAGAGAGAGAGAGAGAGATTTAGGTTTTGATTTAGAGACTTATAATACATAAACTCAACTTGATCAGACTTATTTTTTCATGAGAATTTCATTGGTGTGATTAGATTTAAGCTTCCATATAGAGTGTGTGCTCAAATTTGAGTTTGAAGCTTAAAGTGGTTATGGATTTTCAAATGGTTTTCATAGCAAATGACCATTTCCTTAATTGAGGCTTTGGTTGTGTTATGGGGTTGTAGTACAGTTTATTGGAGTGCTAGAAAGTCATGGCCGCGGTGTGTGGTGAAGAAACCCACCAGGGTTTGAAAACTTGAAAATCAAAAATTTGAAGTTAAAACTTCAAAAGAGGGGTTGAGTCTAGCTAATTTGGGGTTAATGAGTTAAAAAATGAACTTAACTTTAAAAAAGCAAGTAATTTGATAGGTTAAAAATGAATTTGCAGGTCTAGAGAGAGAGAAAAAAAGAGTTGAGAGAGAGGAAGATGAAGGGTAAAATTGGTAATTTAATTTTTTAATTTAGTAAAAAATAATTTATTTATAACACGTGCTTAATTAGCGCGTGCAATTAGCGCGTCATTATAATAAACGGAGTCTGTTAGATTTGTAGTTTCTTCACAAGTTGAAGGAAGCTATGTGCAACTCGTAAAAATATAGAGGGTGAATAAGACTAAGACTTAGTTATGGGATTTTTTATTTTTTACCCTTCTCTATTTGCATGTGAATATCACTTATGCTAAACCTGCCATTAGTGTTATAAAGCTATCCAGATCACTTTAGTGCAATATTTGTTGTGTTTGCTCAAGAAGTTTGTAGTTTTGTATATTTCTCGACTAAAAAAATTTTAATTTTACGAGATCTTCTTTGTGGAAATACTAAAAATTGCAAAAAATAAAAATAATAAATTGCCTTCTGGTAATTAGAAGTCCATTTATGCCTTCGATGAAAGCAGCTTTGATTAGTTTTCACAAACCTACACTTAGCTACGCATATACATGATAAATTACCACCATTGGTTTCCTCACATTTGATCTTAGGTATGGCCATTCAACTTAGCATTTAGCATATGTGAGTTTCTTATGTATGTCTAGGGGTGGTAGTTTCTGATACGATATGACAACACAATTATAAATTGACACGAACTTAGTGGATTAATGTTGATTATTTCTTGACACGAACCTGTAAATAACATGACTCAATGGATCGAGTTAGTGTCAAGCACGAAGAATACGAAATTGATACGATTAACACGTTTAACGAGTATTATAAGAATAAAATGTTAATTTTTATTAATATTTTATCAAGTAGTGACATTATTATTGTATTAAAAAAATATTTTTACTCATTTTTATTATTATATTTATTAAGTTAATTTTTAGTTTATAAAAAATATGAGTATATGTTCGATTAAGTGACAATTAAAATTTATACTTAAATCTGAGTGTAAATATTTTTAATCACGGTTTATATTGGTCAACATGAACACGACACGAAAATAAATAGGTCGACTCACCTCGACACAATTAATTAAACGGGTTAGATTAGGATTGATTAATGTTTGACACAAACTCGAAATAACACAACACGATTGCCACCCCCATGTATGTCTATTCTCTAAATTCGAGATAAAATACTCAATTTGTCCAAAATCGCAACAGTATGTGTGTGTGCGCGCGCGTGCGCTAAAGCTTGTGTGTTTTTCTGGGTTCAAACATCTAAGTCCATCCTTGTGTCTATTTACTGTATGCCCAAAAGAAGAAGAAAAAAACACTTATTAGTTTCACCTTGTTTTTTTAGCTATCTTATAGCGACAAAAACCTTATTTTATCCGAGATTATTTGTAAACCTTTTCATAGATTTATATCCCATTTTTGTTTGTGGATCAGAGATATAATATCTTTTGACTAATCCTTGGTAATCTGTTTTCAATAGCATTTACTAATTTCGAAGGGAAAACAAATGAGCCCCCAGTTGTCTATTGACATCAACAATGAGCTAGCCTCTTTGTCAGCTACACCATTTGAGCCTTACATCTTCAGAGTGGATGGCCTGCTACGTAGGGAAAATGAGCTAGCCTATGAACCAGAAATACTTGCAATCGGTCCTTATCATCACGGTAAAGCTAACTTGGAAATGATGGAAAAGCATAAACTAAGATACCTACAAATGTATCTTGCGCGAACAAATGAATCAAGTGTGGATAGATTTGTCAATGCCATGCAAGATTTGGAAGAAAAGACACGAAAATGTTATGCAGAGTCCATTGGACTTGAGAAGGATGCGTTTGTGCGAATGATGCTACTTGATGGATGTTTTATCATTGAGTTTTTTTACAAGTTAGCATATGAAAAGGTTATAGATGACCCTATTTTCAAAATGCAAAGGTTCACGAATACAATTTTTCAAGACCTATTGTTATTTGAAAATCAACTCCCATTTTTTGTTCTTAAGCGCTTACTTGGAAGTAATTTATTAGATATCAATGATCTCATTTCTCAGATACCCTTCCTCTTCTCCCATCTTTTTTCCCAAAGTTCAACGTATTCAGACGCATCCTATGTTCCAAGGGAGAATGTCAAACATCTACTAGGCCTTGTACATGATACTTGGTGTTCCTCATTTAAAACGACCGTCTCTTCCCGTCGGGCCGCTGAAGCCGAAGAAAGAACATGGAAATACATAAAATGCAGCACACAGCTTCGAGAGGCTGGGGTTAAATTCAAAAAGGCCACAGAAACTTCCTCGTTGCTGGATATAGAGTTCGAAAATGGAATAATGAAAATTCCACCTTTGAGTATTGATGATAGTACTGAGGTCATCTTTAGAAATTTGGTTGCATATGAGCAATATAATGACCTAAATGAACCGGCTTATGTGACCAATTACAGGAAGTTTTTAGATTGTCTCATCAACTCTCCAAAGGATGTCGAAATACTACGTCACCGTGGAATCATTGACAACTGGCTAGGTGATGATGAAGCAGTTTCGAGCCTGTTGAACAGATTGGGCAATAATGTCATCCTAGATTCTACATCATTCTGTTACTCCGAAATTTTTAACAAAATTAACGACCATTGTAAACGCCGTCGATACAAATGGATGACCAAGTTAAGGCATAATTATTTCAACAGCCCGTGGTCTATCATTTCACTTTTTGGTGCTACTCTGTTGCTTGTGCTGACTATCATACAGACTATATACTCTGTCTCAAAAGTCTGATTTCAAGTCTAGTTTGATTTACTTGTTTCCTTAAAGCAAAAATGTTGTATGTTTCAAATAAATTGTACTGATTATTTAGTTAACCAATTGTTTCAAAAATGTACTGTAAGAATTTCTCAATGTGAAAACATTATAAGCCACTAGTTGTAGCAAATTAAGTTCTAGTTTGATCCCTATGGAGCAGTAAACATTTTGGAGGTCACTTAAAATGGTTAGCAACACAGCTTCAATTATAATCAAAGAGGTGTTCCTATGATTGGGTGGATCATCATGTATGGATCGATCCTATGGGCCCTTATTGGGTGACTATTATGTATTGGGGTGACTATTTGTAAAAAGTTCAAATAAATTGCACCGAACATTAGACCGTTGGAACTCAATTTGTTTGCCCGAAAGAATAGTATTTAAACTCGATTTGACTCAGGTTATCTGATAATCAAACTTTGCTTACGCTTTTGTCAAAGGGTATAAAAATAAATAGTCTACATTTCAACAAATATGCATGCCTATCATGCCTTTTATTTTTTTGCCCAATTCAGAGAGGATAAATTTAAACAAGGTGAAAAGAAGACTAATTCGTCTACTTTTCATTTCTTCCATTTTTTCTTCCTAAACTCCACATATACATCTATTAATTACTAAAAGCAGCCCTTCAATTACAATGTTGTTTTGTGTGTATTTTGTTAAAATTTTAGCTATTGGTTTCTCCTATTATTATTACTATAAGTAGGATTTTGTCTCAACTAATTAAAGATTGTCCCATAATACAAATGCAAATATAATCACACTTCTTAATCATATATGCTGCTTCTATTCTCTATATATTTCCTCCTCATCTCAATTTCATATTTGAAATTAAGTGAAATTTATTAAAGAAGATTAATAAAATTTATTACATGTGTCATATTGTTGAATGTCATACCGACAACCAAAACAGAAAGGAATATAGTGTTATTATCCTATATGAGCGGATCTCTTGTTTATTTAACAAACTTCAAGGGATATACATGTAATTTACAATTTTTTTTTTGTCTCCATCTTACTTCACTTCACTGTCTCAACTATCATCTTTTTTTAATTGTACCCTCAACTATGTTTACTAATATCACACTGCCTAATGATTGACATCTGTTATCAATTGCCAAAAAGTTGCTCACTTTGCCTCTTACACAATGTGTGTTCTTCACTTTTCTCTCTCCTACCTCTTTTTTTATTTTTTTCTCTGATCACTTAATTTTAAATTATATAATTATAAATAAATAAATAATTTTTTATTTAATAAATATTGTATGACTAATGTTAAATTTTTTATATTGTAGAGTATCTTTTAGCACAAAATTGTTGTTAGTGTTTATATATTACAAGAAGAATAGAGGAAGCCAAAAGTGATGCATTTTTTGATCGTGGTAAAAATTAGACCCTTAAATGATCACATAATCCTTCAAAACAGTCGACACTTTCACGCTCCCCGTGTTGATTTGCGCATTGAGACTGAATTCTCTATGAATTTGTGCTCTCATTTCACAAAATTTGAATTCGTATTATTATTAACTTATATTCTTACTCATTCTTATTAAAAGTTTTATTTGAAAAGTATTAACTCATACATAAAGATACATATGAAACTAGAATGATATTTGTAACCTATAGTTACCATTTTAAAGACCACATAATCAATATATATATAAAAATTAAATAATTTGTTATATTGTTGTGCATGAAATTTGTAGTACTTGATAAATTTAGGACACTTATCCATATTGTGGAAGGACAAGTTGTAGGAATTATCAACTTACATCCCGACAAGGTCCAACAAGATTGGTATGGACAACAGTGTCACACCAACATTCTAGCGTCGCGGTAGGCATAAGCACAACAACAGATGCTATTTAACAGATGCTATTTTTCAAGGACCGCAAATGTTCACCTTTGTTCCCACAAACCTTCTCAAACTAATTCAAACATGAAGTCTAATGCTTTAATAAGTTTTCACACTTTTGTTACGCAATAAAGCATTTAAACCAAAATATCAATTGCTAAAAATAAAATCACAGCCCCATTAGTTAATTTTATCTATTTTCTCTTTGCATACATTTTTTGAGCTCTTTGAAGTCTCTTAGCAAGGCTTTGTCTAATATTACATGTGGAACTACTGATCAAATTTAACTCTGGTAGTGCAAAAAGTAATGGTTTGACTATAAATTTTCTAAAAATGTCAAAACTACCCTCTTTTATGTAAATATACTAAAATGCCCTCAACCCTTTTCCCATTCTATATACCACACCTTTTGTTGTTAGTGAAGGTCTAAAACGATTTGGAGTTGCTGGAAGACATAAGAAACTGAAGTTAGCCATTATTCTTCAGCTCGTTCTCTACAGTGATTGATCATTACCTAAGTTGGTAAATATATATATATATATATATATATGTTACAGATTTAATGTTTTTCATGCAATTTTTGTTTTCATGCAGATATTTTTAATTTTTTTCATGCAAATTTTTAAATTTTTTTTTCATCCAAAACACCCATTAGACATTTAAGTCATTAAGTCAATTTTCTTATAAGTTGTTGGGTAATAGGTACACTTTTCGGTTTCTTATTTTCTTATATTACCTATGTTCTCTCTATGATATGTTTTTTATTGTTCATTATAAATTATAGGATTTTAAATTTGTTTTATAGTTGAAAATAATTTTTCTATAATAAAATTACAATTGATAAAATCAATGTCAAAATTCCATTCATTTCTAACTTCTCTACTATCGTTTGTCCTCCACAACGTCACCTTACCACTCTTCATATATCACATTTCATATATAAAATTTAAATATTATTTGATAAAATTTAATAGTAATTAAATAAATTTGGTCTTAATTTGATTTTAATTTGATAAAATTATATTAATTCAGTGTTGATTTGAAAAAATTAATGTTAATTAAATAAATTTAAATGTTACTGAATGAAATTGAATGGTCATTTGGTGTGAAATTAAATAACTTATTTTCACTTGATAAGGTTAAATGTTAAATTAATAGAATTTAATATTCTATTTATTATATTGAATTTTAATTTAATAAAATTAAATGTCAATTTGATGTTGATTTGAAGAAATTAAATAATAATTTAATGTTAAATTAAAGAAATAATATGATGAAATAAAATATTAAATTAATATAACTAAATGCTAATTTGACAAAATTAAATATCAATTTGTGTTGATTTGATAAGATGAAATGTTAAGTTAGTTTAAATAAAATAATGGATATTAATTTGATAAAATTAAATATTAAATTGATGAATTTAAAGGTTAATATAATAGAATTAAAAGAGAGTGCATTGAAATTTCAGAATTAGAATAGGGTATTGTTAAAGATAGGTCTATTTATAGGGAGTGTCGTTAAAATTATGTCTATTTATAGGGGCCGGGGTATCATTGAAGTTATATCTATTTACAATGGGTGTGGATAAAATTTACCGTATAAAATATTCAATGATATTTTTATAAATTAACAATCGCTGTTAACTCTGTAATTCAACAAATACTAACAGGGGATGACAGTGAAGTTTTAAAATCGAGAAAGTGTGTCATTGAATTTAGACCTAATTACAGGAGGTGTGGATGAAATTTTCCCTTAATTATATCATATACTTGCTATTTTTAGCCAAATGATAAAAGATCCCAAAACCTTTGGTTCCCCTTCTCATGTTATCTACCTGACTTCAACTACATAGGTGTCTTGAGACCATTACATACCTCCAATAAACAGGTTATCATCCAATGTTTTGCTCAACTCCATTGTGTTTTGCATGTATCAGAGAATGTAAGAAACGATGGTAATTATTGGCAACTCTACGGTACTGCCTTTAGTTTGTATAGTTGATGGGCTTTGTAATCATTTCAAATAACAAATTCCCAACACAAAAGGGACATCCCTTAATCGGTATTCGTGCAAAAAATCTGAACACAAGTGACGTGACTACTCACCCCCAAATATTGATGAACAAGATCTGTAACCCATACAAACATTTATGAGTTCGACAAATTGTTTGCACTCCAAGGATATGTAACGCCCCAAAAATTCTCGTGGGTGACATTACATTCTAAAAATTATTTACCGTATAAGAGCATTAAGTAAAATTCATCACGATAAAAATTTCATTTATCAACCATTCATATTTTAACAAAATTTGGGCAGAGTCTCCTTTGTACGGGGAGCTCTACCCAAAACACAACCTGTACAATTATATTACAATTGACCACACCGGGTCCACATATGCATAACTATTGACCACACCGGGTCCATTTTTCCATCATAAAATAAACTTGCATTCATCATATGTCATATCCACACTATCATCCCAAATTAATAGGTCTAATCTTGGCCTTTACATCTCCAAAATGTAATAATATAACGCAGCGGAAATAACAGAAATGAACTAGAGTTCAAAAGGATATTCTAAGCATAATCTAGTCTAGAACAAAATAAAAGTGTCGCTGTAAGCGTCCACCTCGGGATCCATATCCCCGTCAAGCGGAGTCTTCCAATGGGTGGGCTCCTCGGCTCCTAACTCCTCCTCAAGTGTGAAATCTGAAAA